GTTTAGGAGTTATTGAGGAAAAACGAAATTTTTTGTCAAAAGTTCGCTGATTCGACGGTGGAATGGTCGGATTTTGTCAACATCAATAAAATGCCATATAATCATATGTAACTCATTAAATATCGAAATTAGAAGAAAAGTACGCTATTTTTAATTATAGGAAATGCGTTTTTCTAAGGTTACATAAACTTTTGAGATTGACTGTATAGCCAATACATCCTTAAATGAAACTGGGGAAGTGGAGCTCTGGCCGAGGCGAAGTGGCACGAAATTAGATCTGCTTAAAAATCGATTCTATTTCCCTTCGGTTTCACAATAGGAATTAAATTCTAATAAACAATTTCTTGTTTGACGAAGTCGATTGCAAAATAATTAATTCGATACGTAATTCCAGTGGCAATTGCAACACGAAACAAATGACAATTGTTCCAGATTCTAGCTCGATTTCATAATCGATAAACAACGTTCCCGTTGAAAATCGCGAATTAAAATCGGGATCACGCCGAACGTTAGTTTGAGCAATTAGCGGGACAAACGCGATTCATGCGAGGCACCGATAAAATTTGTGACCGAACGGCAGTCCATGTAAATGAACGGGTTTACGTAACACCGAGTCATTATCCGTCTTTTTGCCTCTTCTAATTATTTCTTCGTCTCGCGAAAGTGGTTTCCCTGGATCGAACGCCATCCCTCGATCGACCGGCCGTTTTTCACGCAAATAATAATCGTTAGAAAAAAGGTAGCGTAAACATACGGGCGAATTGAAAGCTAATTGAAAGCAAGCAGTCGAGCAGTGAACGGCTCGTGTAAACTGGCTAACAGTACTCGTAATTAACTTGACAGAATGTTTTCTCAAAAATTAATAAATGATTCAGCAATTAAATTTATTGTACCTTCTGGGCGTCTTATGAACGCATTGTCACTGTTCGGTGTATGATTCCTATCGTGAACCAGCAGATTTACGATCGTCAATAGAATCGATCAAATTGCTCCCTGTTTGTAAATCTCCCCGGCGACGAATTGCCCGTGGCGTGTCAAATTTTTGCCACGCTGGGGTATAATATTGCTACACCTATGTAAATGACAAGTAAGTTTCCGATGACTTTTTCCCGCTGCGTCCGAGTCGCTAATCAAGAAATACCGGTAGAATACCTGCTAGCTATTCTAAAAATAAATTTATCACGGCTGCATTTCGACGGTTGAGATTCTACAATAATTTCGAAGGAACGTGAGCTACTGCAGGCAGACTTAATTTATTGATAAAGCGTGGATATGTTGAATTGAGTGATAGTTTGAAAAATTGTAAGAGACTCACGTCATTTATAGTGGACGGGATTGGAGGCGAGTCGATCGAGCGCACGATTTTTCGAAGTCTTCATGTTTCCATTATCGTGGCTGTCTAGATCCTCGGTGGTATCATCGCGTAAGGGGTGACACGTTCACCGATTCGATCCGCGAGAAGTTCGTAGGGCAAATGAGACCTCGTCACGGTGTTCCCTCGGCCCCCGTAGAATTTTAGAGGCCCGGCTCCAGCGTGCACCAATAATTTCGCGATCACTGCACCATCGACACAATACCCGACTCTTCTCCCTCTCGGTCTCCGTTTGCCTTCGGTGTCCGCGGTCGGCGTAAAACGAATTTAAAATACGAACGATCGCGAAGACGCGTTTCTTCGGACGTCTCGAATGCGAAAAAACTCGTCTTCCCGGTTACGCGGAGACGACGCGAGTTAAAAATAAAAAGTGCCGAAAATTGGAGAAAAGGATCGTCCCGCGTGTTGCGTCGCGCGCGGAGATTCGCGCCGGACTGCGCTCTTATGGCTCGCGGCTCGTTATGTCCCCTCGACGAGCGAGCAGGTAGCTGACGGTTTGACGAGCGTGCGAGGACTCATCGGTAAACTAAACGCGAACACTCAGGCCCGAAAAGATCGTTCGAGGAGAAGCTACGATCTTTTAATCGACAATTTTTTAATACGAAGCTTTTAATCTGCCCATTTGTGGGTGGCCAATATTTCTGATTGCGTTTCAAACTAATAAAACGCTCGTCCGAGCAGATTCGCCAATAAATAAATAGCCGGTAAAACGTGAAAGATCAATAAGCAAGGAATCGCACAACGTCGTTTAGCAACTGGCTGTGAAACGGCCGCATCCTGAACACGTTCACCTTTCGAGCTTGTTATTAGCCGTTTTCACCAACCGGTATCCTCGGACTCGCGGAATCGATTCCGACGGCCGGCCGTCTGTCCGACGCACAGTCGTTAAGATACGTCGATGACTCTACGACGAAGGTGTATCGCTCGGGCGACGATCCTTTTCTCCGGTTTTCCAGCACCGCGGAAAGCGGTCTCACGGTATCTGGCACGAGCGCACCCGTACACCGTGCACGTACGGAAGACGTGTGCACTTTCGCTGTCGATCCGATACCAACGATCTTCCCTCTTTTCCTTTCTCTCCAGTGTCCTTACGCGTTATATTATATCCGGTCGAGCCTTTTTCCGAATCTCTTCGTTCTTCCTCGACGATCGAACGAAGGGTGCTAATGGGTGACACGCGTTTTTACCACCTTTCGCGCGGTACGTTTTCTCCCGAATCCACGGGGATCATTTTCCGCCCCGGCGACACCGTCGATCCGTTTCGCGCGTTTCCGAGAATTCGGCCCGCCGAGAAGACCAAGTCCCCAACGACGAGGAGAACGCACGCACCGCGTATCGTAAATTAATAAGCGAATGCGCGAGCGGACTCGGTCTAACTGCGGTGGACGATACCCGTCGACGTCGGTAGCAAAACCGTAGAAGAAGTGGGGAAAACGACCCAGGGACTGGGGAGGACTGGGCGATCGTCGGCGGCACACGGTTCTCGAGGTACCAGAAGAGAACGCTCGCTCTACTCGCTCGCCTCGGATCCTGGCGAGTCGCTACGCTACTGCCGCAGCGACCTGCCTCGTTTCAAAATCGGGAAAGTCGTCGTCGATCAAAGAGGGGCTGTCCTTCTCGCGTCGCGTACCTACTCCCTTTCGACGGCGTCGATGTCGACGGTGAGACCGGCTAACGATCCCGCATCGGTCACGCCGTTTCCTCCGGCGCCGATTACGTTCGACGTCTCCTTCCTTCGATCCGCGAGCCTTAACCGGCGATTCGTTAGACGAATTCTTGTCCGTAAGACCAACTAATTCTCCGCGATCGATGGCTTCGCTTAATTAAAATAGACGAAGGGAAAAAGTACGGCGAAAGCGCTCGAACGAAATGATCGAAAATGGTGATCGTTTATATGTACAGAGGAATTCAGACCGAGATAGATCCTATTTTCTCGTAGGTCCAGCGGTTTAGGAATATTTGAGGAAAATCGAAATTTTTTCCAAAGGTTTGCTATTTCGATGGTGATTTTATCAATACCCATAAAATGCCAATTAATCGTACTTAACTCGTTAAATATTGAAGTTATAAGAAAAATTCATAGTATCTTTCTTGTCGAGGACTACAACTTGTGTATAAAAATTTTTTCGCTAGCGTCCATAATTAAGTAAGGCGTACTTTAAAAAATTCGACGGAACGAGGGAATGAGTCATGCAACCGTTGTTCCATTCGTGCGATTCATTGTCAGTTCTGTGCGGTGCATTCTGTCAAACGCGAAACGTCGCCTCGTTCTTCGATAGAAAACGATCGCAGACCGGAAGCGTGCCCGGCGTTCGCGTGACTCGACCCGTCCGAATCGTCGAGTTCGCCGCGACGGACGTGGCTCGCGATAGAAAACGCGGTTCCCATCGAATCAAGGCGAAGACGAACCATAGGAAGTGAGAGGAGAGAAAAAGAAGCGGACGGATCTCGTCCGTGCAGGAGACGTAGCCGCAGGGAAACACGGCGGGCGCTCTTGATCAGAGGTGATCGTTTTCCGGTTTTCCGTTCGCGAGCCACACACAGCTGCTCGCCTTTTCCTTCCTGCTCGCTCTTTCGCCGTTTGCCTCGCGAGAGGGAAAGTATTTTATACCACGCTTCGCTTGGCAAGAGAAAGGGGACATGGTTCGCTTCTAATTTCTGCTTTAACTCGGCGAACCTATATATCGTACTTGGGAGCGTGTTACTTGACGCCAGCCACGTTTCTACGCTTTATGTACAGGCCTTGTGTACACCTAGGTCTCAAATTCATTTGTTCCTACCTACACCTTTCATTTCTAATTGCGATCAATAAATGATCGGCGGTGGTTCACAATTTTCAAATGCAATTGCATGTTCCTCTCGAAACGCAACAGACGTGATCGTATCGGTCGTGTGTAAAAGCGAGAGAGGTCCGACGAAGATGCAGCCTGTCCCGCTGCAACCGGCGGGACGAGGCTGCAGCTTCTCGGTTAAAAGTGAAATCGTCTGTAGGACGTGGTTACTCGTATCACAGCTGTTATTATATATTATGCCAGGCTCCGGAGGAAGACCCGAGGCGGTGATTACGGCGACCGCAGGCCGGAACATGCGCGTGCACCACCGGATATCGCGCCTCGACGTTCGTCCGAAGGACCGTCGAACGTAACGATGATCAGACTAGCTAGCCGTCGGCGTTTAACGAAAGTGCACGCGAAAACTGTAATTACTTGCCCGTGAACGGGACTGATTCCATAGGGAAATCCGCATATTGTTTCCAACCGGTTGGCGAGTAAACACGAGGCGCGGGTATACCCGCGTTAATTACGAAAGTGAAAGTGTGGGTCATTCACGATACCAGCGGCCGGCGTGGATTTATACATACGTATGTATGTATGAAATAAAAAGAAATCTCGCAGAGTCTTCTTTCTCTCTCCGTTTTACGTAACTGATCTTGATATTGTTCCTGCGTTCCTCGATTATCGCACAGAGACTTGGCGTTCTCGCCCACTCGTTACGATCTCTGCGTATCTCTTAGTTCGTTTCAGATACTTACGTTTATTATTTATCTTTACGATAGTTAGAATTTATATTCGCTATAATTAAATGTTCCTGTAACGGTTTAGGTATCGTGTTAGAAAATCGTCGAAACAGATTCGATATACTATAGTTTCTCTTTGAAAAATTGTTCCGCTATCTCGTCGACGCTCGTCAAGGTGTGTCAATATCGATGTCAGGCAATAAGTTTTTTTGTTATTACCGTTATGCTTCTCCGTGCAGCTCCTCGGATCTCGCAACGTCGAAAACTGCCGATTTCGTAAAGAATTTCACCTTCCTGGTTCGACGCCGAGAAGCAGAAATCGTGTAATCCTTTTTAATGATTCATCAACTTTTCTTATTCTTCGTCTGTTCCTCTGTTTTTGCGTCCGGTTACGACGGAATCGATCCTGACGCGCACCAACGATTCCGTTATAAAATACGTTCAACGATCTATGATTAAAAAGGAAATTCAATTCGTAGAACTCGACGAGCTGATCTAATTACGTTCGACGGATTCAAAGTCTAAGCTCGTTCGTCGCACTTTGTCCCCAGTTGCAAAAATCCTTTTTAAATCACTCGAGTAGCGTTCGAGCAGCGTAAATAATAAACGAGCAGATGCGATCAGTTGATTCATCTTCGAATCGTACGCAAGCTTATCAATACGTAATTGTCTCGTCAGTAGAACGAATTCGTTCTCAAATTGATTATCTTGATCGATCGTCTCCTCAGGTGTAAATTCCAAGTTTACGATAAAAGAAAGGTTGTTGAACGCTCGTGATTTTTATTTATAGCCGTCGATTAATATGAAATGATTGAGAAACAATTTTCCTGCGTTCTCTTCTCGTCCCATATACGATCCGGTTCGAATAATTAGAATATAACGAAACTAGGCCACCGTCAAATAAAGCAAATAATACACGGATTGTTTGTTCGACCGAAGTCGATGATGAAGTTCTGTAATATCGTTATCAGAACAGTCGTTCGATTGCACTTTAGTTCGATGCGTCTTAAAATTGCGTAATCGAAATTAAAAATTACGTAAGGAGGATTGTTGATTACGATTTAAACTTATAATGATTTATGTACACGTCAATGGTACGTGTAATCGTACTATAAAATATTTGTACAATTGTACAGTTATCTCGATGAGAGGCATTACACGCGGTTTAAAGTTTTCAATCTCTTGCGTATGACGACTGATGTTTTAAAGAGTGACGTGCGGTGATCTAAACATATTTTTATTCGAGATCTGAGTACGTCGTATATTAAATGATTAGCTCGGTTTATCTGGAACATTGTTAGATACAATTGAGCCGATACTAAATTTTCAATTACACGATTTTAATTGAACAACGATGTGATAACGTTCAGAAAATTTGTCAAATTAAATCTCCGAAAGGATAAAGAGAAAAGAGATAAGGAGACTTGTTGATTTGAATTTAGTATATTTCGTTACATGCATTCTTTCGTTAATAATAATTAATAACAATAATAATAGTTGACATATAATACAATCAGAGTAATATAATTAATAAGAACCTAATTATCTTTCCTTCCTGTGACAGCTGCCTCAATGCCCTAAAGATCCTAGCAAACCTACAGAGATCGTTTTTGATATATGAAATAAAACAAAAGAAATTTTAGTCGGATAATAGTAGAAGGGTTTTGTGCTTCGCTTTATACCGTTGATATAATATGCTGGACACGTACGTCGTTTTCAGTGCTATCGGTTACATTCCCCACGTGTTCCTTGTGCTTCTGCGCAACTTTTGTTAATCGGAATTAAATTACATTTAGATATTTCATAGATATAATATATATGCTTTTACACAAAGTCACTACTTCTCGTTTCCTTTGACACGTTTCATATAAATCATTTAAGTAACACGTCTACGTAGTCAGCGTTGCGTCACATAAAATTTAGTTCGCCGCTTAAGCATGGACATCGGATGGATCATAAAGGATCGCAATGTGCGACCGCTTCTCAGTCGATCGTTACAAGGATCCATACTTATATGATTTATATAAAAATTTATATGAAGTCTAGGTAATATTAAACGTGCAAATCGTAGATATTCATGTTCGGCAAACACCTCCCTACATATTATGAAGGTTTACGTGTAATGTAAGAGAAGCTACGCGTTTCTAAAACGATATATAATTATTCCTATGCAAACGTTTCAACGCGGTATTTAGTATAACGACGTCCTACAACCATTTTCGAAAATTTGATTATACGTTCTATCGTTTAATTAGCGACCATAAAGTATCTACCGTCGTACAATAAAAATTTCCTTCGATGGGAACGTACAACTAATTCAGCTGGTCAACGATGATACCAGATATCAGTAACACGTCGAGCTTTAAAATATTCTCGATAAATTGAAGTAAAACGCGAGGCAATCAAACTTTAAAACAAAATATACCTGATTTTAAACGATGTCGCGACGTCGCACGTGAAATGAAGCTGTGATTCTTCCTGAAGAATACCAAGCACTGTTGTCAACGCGTCTTTCGTCGTCGCGTATTAATTCAAAGGATCGACTTCGACGTAATCGTAAATATAGGACGACGGCGGATTATTAGCGCCATTCAATATCTCCGTGGCTGTAAGTTCGATGTTCGGATTGTGCCATCCGTTCGTATCGTTGCCACCGATGTCCAGGCCGAGTCGTAAATTAGCCGGAGTGTTGCCGATGACGAAGTGCTCCTCGGTCAAAGGCAGAGCATTTTTTAAAAGGCACCAAATGTTCTCGTCGGCGATGACGTGAACTTTCGGTACCGGGAATCCGTTGAACGGCGAAGCGACCGGCAGAGTGTAAGCTCCCATATTTTCAAAGATGATCCAATCCCCGAGATCCATGTCGTGCAGCAGAACGTTTTCGACGACTTGATCTAAACCGTCGCAGGTCGGTCCCCAGATGCTCGAGGGGATCATTTTCCCGCAACCTTTCTTCAAAGGTATCGGAGTCACGTGCTGATGATCGTACAGTAGACAATTGAAAGATCCGTAAACGCCGTCGTTGATGTAGTACATGTTGTGCGTAATGACATTGGGCGAAGCTTCGTTGCTGCGGACCGAACGCTTGCTGTGAATACTGGTCGCGAGTGTAAATGCAGAGGCCACGTAGAAGCGGCCGGGTTCAGCGATTACGTGAACGGCGTCGGTGTTGAAGTACTCGTCGAGCGCTTTATTGACGACGTCGGCGATCTTGTCGATGCTGGTACCTTTGTTCCCCGGGTAACCGCCGCCGATGTCCAAGAGATGCGGCTTGAAACCGATGTCGGTCGCCAGATCGAACAGCGATCTGGCGTGGCGTATGGCCCGATGGAACACGGGTGGATCTTGACAACCGGAACCAACGTGAAAGCTGATTCCGATCACGTCGAGACCCAGCACGCGCGCGAGGCGCAGAAGATTGGGTGCCTCGTAAATCGGATCGCAACCGAATTTCATGCCCAACTGGCATTGAGCTACTTCTGCGTCGCAACGGATTCGAATGACGACCTGAAAGTCAAAGGATGATTCGATCATTTTATACGACTGAGAAGAAGCGTAACTTAAGGAAACAAGGAGAATATATTTTATGCTACCTTGGCATCGGGATGAAGTTTCTTAATCTTATGCAATTCGCTTTCGTTATCTACCGTCATTGCATCGACTCCGACAG